CGACCGCGGCGCAGCAGGAGCGGGCGCCGTCCACAAGTGGGCCAAGCCGCGCGCGCCCTGGCCGCCGACGGCACCGCCGAGGCAGGAGGCAAGCAACCAGTACGCGCTCGCACATCAATAACCAGATTCACTCTGAGAATTACCCACGGCACACAAAGTTAGGGCGCCGCGGGCCACTCGCTCGGGGGCTGGCAACCGATCCGGGGGAGAGCGCGCGACCCGACAGCGCCGCGATGCCAGCCGCCCACGGAGCCCGAGAAGGAGTGCAGGATACCGCCCATCACGTCCAAGGAGGAGGTGCAGGAGGTGCAGGAGTGCAGTGCAGGAGGTGCTGGACGCCAATGGCAGGTTCCCAGCCACGACGGGCCTCAGGGGGTCGGACTGGCACCCGCGGCTCTGGAAGCAGGGAGGCGCCCAAGGAGCAGCCGGGCGGCAAGCGTGCTCGGTGCGGTGGAGGCAGGGTCGTCAGGGCCTGGGCCTTAATCCACCATCCTACTCTACCTTCTCGCGAAACCTGCAAATGGCTACAAAAACCTCGGCTTGATTCCCGACCGCGCGATGCCGTGGGAGACGATCCGCTTCTCCTACGCCAGGCGCTGAGAGGCGAACGGGAGGGCGAGCGGCAGCGTGAGTCCAGGCGCTCTTCTGCGAGGCGTCCGTCGCGGAGGGGCTCGAGAACGCGGCGGCGTACTTCGACCTGGTTCAGTGCCTCGAGTACGTGACCCACGAGCTCTTTCTGGAGGGCTGCGAGCGGTGTGGTTTTGGCCACCTCACCCTGAAGGTCGTCGTCATGGTGATGAAGCGCATGGTCTTGGACGGGTGCTACATCAGGGGGTGGCGCTGGGCTAGAGGCATCGTGGTAGGGAGCAGGTTCGCGCCCTTTTGCTTCAAGCTTGTCTTCTACATAGAGCTGGACGGGGTCGTCGGTGCTTTCCCATGGGCGGCCGCCTGCCTCTTCTTCGAACACTTGGCGATTGCGACGCTCGGCGTGACGGAGCTTGCGCGCTACTCGCAACCCCGACTCGTGCAAATGCTGATCCACCTGCTCGAGGTGGTCTTGGACGTGGCGGCCTCCAGGGGCGAACGCGGCAAGACGGTCACGATCGCGTCGACCAGTCCTGGGCGCGGCGATCGGCAAAAGCATCCGCACGCACGGCGAGAGGCTGGTGAAGCAGGAGAAGCTCCTCGGCGCGACGACGGCCGCGGGCATGCCGCGGCCGGGGGCCGTCAGCACACGGACGGTCAAACTCGCCGCCGGGAGGGATCGGACCACGCGGGCACGACTCGCTGGCCGTCCAGCCCAAAACAAGATCAGGCACGCCAAGGTGCCGTCTTTGCTCTACGGCGTAAATGTCATGGGTATGGCGGACACTGAGCTGAGCGTGCTGATGCAATCGTGGCGACGTGAATGCTTGCCATGCCGTGGGGAGTTCTGTGTACCTGACGCTGCTGGCGGACGACGCGGCTCAAAAATCTCGGCGAACGCGCATCTGGAGTTGAGGGAGACCCGGGTCTTGTGCCGAGGCTCCACATCGCGTGAAAACTGCGGATCCTCAAGGTGGACCTCGCGAAGGTCCCGTGGCAACAGGTGAGAGGCCCTGCAAAGGCTTTCGTGGCGACGGTGAAGAGGCTAGGCCGGATGACCCAAGCTGCACACTCCATCACCATCGGCACTTACATCATCGACCTGAGGACCACTCCCCTCCACGAGCTCCACCACTGCCGCGCCGCCACCGAACAGAGCCTCAAGGACACGTGCTTGGCCAAGAGGGGCGCGGAGTCCCATATCAGAGTGAGGGGGCCGAACGGTCATTCATTGTCCCTGGGTGCGTTACTCAAGTGGGAACCCGTGGTGAAGATTATGCTTGTTGTGTTGTTATTGTTGTTGTTGTTGCTGCTGCTGCTGCTGTCGTTGTCGTTGTCGTTGTCGTTGTCGTTGTCGTTGTCGTTGACGTTGTCGTTGTCGTTGTCGTTGTCGTTGTTGTTGTTGTTGTTGTTGTTGTTGTTGTTGTTGTTGTTGTTGAGGTTGAATTCTGAATCCTGAAGAATAATTATTGCTGGTCCCCCCTCTCCGGTGCATACTATTTGTTCTCAATCAAAACGTGCCCCTCGACGCTCGCACCCAGTTTTTTGTCAGGGAAAATATTCCTGCTCAAACTGGGCCCCTGGCCCCCCGCATTACAACAACAACGGCTCCAGCCTGAGACTTCCTCCAAATTTACTCAAGAGCCCCGCTCCTGAGACTTCCTCACAATTTACTCAGGATCGGTGTTCCCGCCTGTGGCTTCCTCGCAGTCTAATCAGGACCCCCCGCTCCCATCTGAGACTTCCCCACAATTCACTTAGGAACGGCGCTCCCGCTTGAGACTTCCTCGCAATTTAAACTAGACGCCCTCGCAATTTAATCAAGACCCCCGCTCCCGCCAGAGAAACCCTCACATTTTATTCAAGAATTGCGCTGCCGCCTGTGACTTCCGTGCAATGTATTCGAACATCGCGCTTTCGACGCTCAGGAAACACGCTGCGCCAGGGACGCCGCTACAATTTACTTAGTTATCGCGCTCTCGCCATACTCAAGCATCCCGCTTGAATGTCCCACCCGCCCGACCCGCCCGTCAGGGGATCCCCCGCCCGTCGTGGGCTCCCACCCGAAACTTCCTTCAGGAACGGCGCTTTCGCCTAGGACTTCCTTGAACGTTCACGCTCTTACCTTCCTGCTCCTCCTCCCTCCCTCCTCCCTCCTCCCTCCTCTCCTCCCTTCTCTCTCCCTCCTCTCTTCCCTCAACCTTATGTCTCTCTGCCCTATCCCCTCTCCCTCCTCTCCCTCCTCCCTTCTCCCTCCCCTCTCCTGCCTCCTCCCTCCTTCTTTCTTTCTCTTTCCCCTCTCTCTCTCTACCTCTCTTATCGGTCTTTCTTTGTCTGTCTGTCTCTCTCTGTATGTATATATATATAATCAACCGCCCCCCTCTTCGCTCCTTCTCCCCTCGCGTTTTCCCTCTTCCTTCGGCCCTTCCCCTCCCTTCCTCCCGCACTCCCCCGTTTTCCCCCTCCTCTTTTTGCAGGGCCCACACCAATTCCAATGGCGGGCACATGCGCTCCCATGAAAGATTGTCCGTCCATTCAAGTTTGCCGGCCTGTGTTAGCCCGCCGCCCCCCGCAAAGAGAACCCCCCCCCCCAGGGGAGTGCGATCGAAGACGGCAAGGGCGGGTATCGAGGGTGTGGTAAACTCGTTTTGAATGGCACACGGGCAAGTAAGAGCGAACAGTCTTATAATGATAGCTGTTGTGGTGTTGTTGTTGCTGAATTTGAACAGCCAAGCAATTATTATCACTGTTATTATTATTATTATTATTATTACGACTATGGATTTTATTGTTGGACCCCCCCCAGGCGCCCTGGCGCTCTCGCCTCGGCGCCGGCTACATCTTCATTGAAAATGAAGCTCACGCACGAGCGGTTTGGGGGGGCGCCAAAACGCCCCCCCCCAACAACAACAACGCTCCCGCTCGAGACCTCCTCCCTTTTTACCCAGAGCCAGTGCTCTTGCTCGCCACCGAAAACCGCCGCCCCCACAAAACCAACGCTCCCGCTCGAGACTTATTCTTGTTGTACCTTGGACTGGAGCGCTACTCTTTCTCTCATCGGCGCCGCCCCCAACAAGAACAACGCTCCCGTTCGGGGCTTCCTCCTTTTTTGCTCAGAGCCGGTGTTCTTGCTCGCCACCGAAAACCGCCGCCCAAACAGAACCAGCGCTCACGCCCGAGACGTCCTCCCGTTTTCTCTGGACTGGCGCTTAACTCTCTTTCGAAGTGGCGCCGCCCCCAGCAAGAACAACGCTTCCGCTCGAGGCTTCCTCCCTTGTTCCTGAAAACAGTGCTGTTCCTCGACGCCGACACCCACCGTCCCGACAAAACCGCGGCTCCCGCTCGAGACTTCTTCCCTTCTTACTCAAAGCGGTGTTCCTCCTCGCCGCAGATAACCGCAGTCCCAACAGAACCAGCGCTCCCGCTCGAGACTTCGCATTGTTTCACGCTGGGCTAGCGCCCCACTCTGTTCTGCATTGGCGCCGCTCCCAGCAACAACAGCACCCCTGCTCGAGACTTCCTCCCTTTCTATTCAGGGCCAGGTCCTTGCCTCGCCGCCGACAGCAAATCCTATCGCTCGATACTTCCTTGTGCTTTACCCTTGGCTGGGGTTCCACTGGCGGCCTCGCATGGGCGCAGCAGGGCGCGGGCATGTGTTTTCGAGGCGGGATATGTTGAAATTCATCGGAGGAGGTCTTTGCAATACCTCATTGGGCGGGATATCTGGGAATGGGAATAACGGACCCCGGCGATAGAACAATACTCCCCAATGATGGGGATGGATATCATGATGGTCGCATGCTGCGTGTGGAAACATCGCAAATGAGGGTATAATGGTTGATGTTGTTGGTGTTGTAATTGTTGTGGTTGTTGTGTTGTTGTTGAGATTGTGTGTTGTCGTCGTCCCACCCGCGACCCACCCGCGACCCACCCCGCGACGCACTCCGCGACCCACCCGCGACCCAACCCGCGACCCAACCCGCGACCCACCCGCGACCCACCCGCGACCCACCCCGCGACCCACCCGCGACCCACTCCGCGACCCACTCGCGACCCACCCGCGACCCTGTCCGCGACCTACCCCGCACACACGACCCGTCCGCGACCCACCCGCGACCCACCGCGACTTACCCACATTGGTTTAACGAAAAAATCGGCGCCTGCGGCGGGCTCGTCGTATAGTTAAATTGTGAAACTTCGGGCTTTTCCAGAGTCTCGCAATCCGCCGACGTCCCCACCGCCCCCTCGCTCTTGTCCGCATCTGTGGGGTGCTGCGTATAGTTGATCTTCGTGGAGCCTGTGCGCGCGCTGCTGCGGCGACCATGCCGCGGGCGCTGGACGCAGGCGCGCCACGCGCGAGAGAGGACGCGTCTGGCACGGGGGCACGTAGCCGCAGGCGCGGCTGCACACGAGAGGGGCGGCGCCCCACGCCAGCTGCAGGGCGCGCCACATGGGGCGCAGGCACTGCACCTTCGCCCTGCGAGGCTCGGCAGAGAGGCGCGGCGCCGCACGGGAGGAACTCACAGCGTGCAGAGAGAGGGGCCAAGCCTTCCTTGAGCCGAGCAGCTGTGGGGCCGAGGCATGGCCAAGGACCCCGCGGTCGAGCTGGGCCTGTGGCGCCTCCCTTCCGCCGACGCCATCTTCGTCGAGGGGGAATGCTTCGGGTCTGCCACGGGCCGGGTGTACACGGACGGCAGCCTACCCTACGGCAAGTGTGCCGCCCTGCGGCGCCGAGGCTGGTCTTGCGTGCAGCTGGCCGAGAACGTAACACTCCAGTACGCCTGCTGAGGACCCTTGCCAAGGCCACACTGGCAACCACAACCACCGATTTGCTTGGGCGAGCTCACGGCCGGGCTCCGCGTGCTGGAGGTAACCCGCCCGCCTCTCGTCACCTTCTCCGACTGCCAGTCTGTGATCAAGGGGGTTTTGCACAGGCCCTCGGGGGCAGCGCGCCCCGCCACACCGCGCAGAAGTGTGGGCGCGCTGCTGGGCATGGATCGCTGAAAACGGCGGTCAGTGGCCGCGAGGGGTCAATTTTGAAAAGGTGAACGCCCACGCTACGAGAGCTCAGCGAGACGGCATGGACCTCGAACGATGGGACGGAACTGCATATGCCGACCCGTATGCGAAGCTAGGTGCACAGCATCAGCAACAGCATCCAGAGTGACACCGAACAGCCTGTATAGTGTTTCAAGCTTGTGTCGGATGTGTAGGAGCTCGCAGCATACGTCGAAGTGTTAGGCAGGGGGCTCGCTGACACCTCCGAGGGCTCGGGTCCACCCGAGCGGAACCCGAACCCGCCCAACTCGGGGATCTACTGACCGGGTCAGTTCAAACCCGGGTCAATCGGGCTTTGCAGGATCCTGCGATATCCTGCACCCAAGCCCGGGTCAATGCACCCCTTGCTCTGCAGGATCCTGCAAGATCTGGCGCTCTGACTGACCCCCGTTTGCATTGACCCCCGTCTCCTGAGCCCCGACCAATCCCTCCGAACCACGGCCTGGTGGGGGTGACGAGCCGCGAAGCCTCCCGACGCCCCGTCCCCGAGGCGCTTGGGTCGGTGGGAGACGGGGGTGGGATCGAACGAGCCCGCGCCCTGGGGCATAGACAGCAGTCAATCCGTACAGTAGGAGCTCGACCACAAAAAAAACTTCCACAAGAAGCCCAACCCTGAGACCCCAGGACGTCCATGGATTTTTGGTGTGGGAACGTCGCGCTTTCCATAGCATAACCATCCAAACCTAAGAAACCCAGCGCACCCTGGAGGCAAGAAGGGTGTTTCTTGGCATGGGTTTTCACTGTGTCATAAGGATGCCCGATAAGGGTGCAAGGGCCTTGGAAGGCCATGTTGAGACTCTGCGAGCGGGGCGCGGCCCGCGAAAGCGGCCAAGGGTGGACAGAGGCACTGACGCAAGGGTACCCTTGGGAAGGTTGCCCATTTACATTATGCGGGTTGACTGTAGTATGCCGGATCTTATGTCGTAGATGAGCCAGGCACGCCCAGGCCAGATGGGTTGGTTTGCAGTCGAGCTGTCTCGCGGGAAACCCCCGAATTATGGCTGGACGTTTGCGCCGTGTGTGGGAAGGTCGTCACCCCACCACGGGAAAACTATGTTGAGCAACGCCGACCTTGATCGCCCAGGAACGGCCTGGGGTAGGCGAAGCCTTCACCGCCGCCACTCTGTGTGCGTCGCGATCCAGTAGAATCCTCCGAATTCTCTTCCTCCTCCTCTCTCATGAGGAGAAGGTGGAGGAGGAGGTGGAGGAGGAGGAGGTGGAGGAGGAGGATTACTCCTCTCTTCCTCCTCCTCCTGCTACTCCTCCTTCCTTCTCGAGCTCCTCGTCCCCCTCCTCCTCCGAGTGAGAGGGGAGCAGGGCCGTCTCGGAACTCCTGGGTGGCCATCCCCGGCGCCAAACATATGTAGGCCACCAAACCTCTGGCGATAGGATTTGCGGCGGCGGGCCCAGGAGGAAGCGAGAGTCGAAAAACAAAAAACAACACCACCATAACCTGTCGGAGCTTCGCGCGGATTTCTCGGATCGGCGCTGGCACCCTCTGGCGGTGCCTCTGGCGCCGCCCCTGGCGCGCTCTGCGCGCCAGGGAGGGGGGTCCAGCGCCGATCCAAGAAATCCGCGCGGAGCTCCGAAACTTTCCGTCTATGCAGTTTTTGTTGCTCTGGAGGGGGGAAGGTCTTCTTAGAACCCATTGGTGCCCGTCCCAGGCGCCAGGGAAGCAAGCCACCAAGTCTCCCTGATCTTGCATCGCCAACACAAGCCGGGAGTGTCAGCCACCACGGTCGAGCTGCATTGCCACAACCCCGCCCAGAGCAATTCACCTGCTGGCCCGTTCCTGTCAGCTGCTTGGCTGCTGTGGACAAGCAACTCTAGCCTTCGGGCTCCTGACCAGGGCCTCAAGGGAGTTCACTGTATTGAAAATTGCGATTTGAAAAAGGGCCCTTTCGACTGAGACCTCCCCTCGTACTTAGAGCACCTGTGCCTCCACTGACCCATGGCCAGGCGTGCTGGCCATGAGGTCGTGCCTACGACTGTCTGGACCGTAAATCCCATGAACGCCCGTCGGAAACACCAGATATACAAACCACCAGATCTCCGTGATGATGCACCGCCAATGCAGCCCAGGCCCGAGCTGCAATGCCACGCCTCTACCAAGAGCGCATCCTCCTGGTCCGTTCCTTGGGGCTGCTTGGCTGCTGTGGACAGGCTACTCTGGCCTTGGGGCCCCCAGACAGCGCCTGAAAGGATTTCAATGGTCGATGGTCTCGAACATGGCGATTCGAAAAGGGGCCCTGGAGCTCCCGTGCCTACACTGACTAATAACCAAGCGTGCTGACCAAAATGTTAAATGCCTACGATTCTCTGAGTCATAGTAGGTCCCAGCAGCTGTGGATGCAGTGGAGAGGCCATTCCAGCCTTGGGGGCCTAGGGTAGCTCAAGGGAAGGGACTCCCAGGGTATCCAGCCGCCTCAAGCATGATGATTCGAATAACGGCCCTTTCGCCTGAGACCTCCTCTCACACTGAAAGCTCCCCTGCACGCACCGACCAATAACCAGGCGTGCTGGCCATCAGGTTGCACATAACTTGTAGAAACGCATGCGATTTAATTCGTTCCCAGTGTCGTCATCCAAGCGTGCTCCAATTTCGGTTGCTTCATGCTTACAGGGGCGTTTCCCACTACTGCGTCGAATTACGTAATCGCAAATTGCTGCAACCCCATCGGTGGCACCTCGTAGCTCTTTGCACGCACCTGGGCACTCATCTGCCACTTGAGCGACAAAGGCAAGCGGGTCTCACGCCCTACGCGAGGTGACATGGCAGCCTTACGCGGTGGCTTACGCGGGCCGCCCGCGCGGCACGCTACATTGGAGACGAGGGGGCATACGTGCGACCGTACACGGGCAACTTACGTGCCCATGCCGGTGCAAATGAACGACCCCGTTTTTCTGCGTCGCTCACCTGTTTTACAAGCAAGCGTCGGCCCTCGAGCCACGAACCTCGCGACGACGGGCGACGACCAAGATCCGGCGCTCTGGCTGACCCCCTTTGCATTGACCTCCGTCTCTGGAGTCCCGATGACCGACTGTGGGGAAACTAACAAGGTACCGATGCCGCTACCACCCAGACTTCTCCTGGAGGGCGCTTTCTGGCTCGGATTCCGAGGCGAATCTGGCGATGGCGACGAGGGCCTCCCAGACGGCCCACAAAAGGGGGAAACGAGTGGGAAGGGTAGTATGGGTACCACTTCTGAAAGAAAAAACAACTGCATCAACATGAATGTTTGGCGCGCCGCGCGGATTTCTTGGATCCGCGCTGGGGCCCCTCGGCGGCGCCTTCGGCGCCGCTCCTGGCGCGCTCCGCGCGCCAGGGAGGGGGTCCAACGCAGATGCAAGAAATCCGCGCTGAGCGCCAACAGCTTAATTATGCTTATGCCGCTCTGTCTTCTGGCAATGGGTACAGCGCCAAACAGGGGTACAGCGCCAAACAGCAAATGCTGTCCAGAGGCCGCTGTCAGGCAGGCGGCCTTGAGTCTCTAGTGAACAACATCCGCAGCGGCGCGGATTGCGAATCCTGCTCAAAATGAGCAGGACCTGCTGTTGGGCATTTTGTACAATTCTTCCCGTTACCGTTTGGATCGTCCCGAAACTACTGGCCGGCCGATGGCCCGCTGGCCGCCCCGGCCGCCCCCCCCTCCCTGAGGGGCAACGATAGGGGCGACATCGACCTGGAATCGGCGATACATCGCCGATAGATCCGCGAAAGGCCTCCGATAGTGAATCCGCACCTTCGTGGGCAGGTTGGGGCTATCGGGCCCCTATCGGCGATCACTGGGCGATTGGGGGTCGATGCATCCCCCCCTGTGCCTATCCCCCCCCTACCGTTGCCCCTGACCCCCTTGCCCCACCGGCATAGCAGCCGCGGCCCGGGGCTCTCGGCCGCCTGCCCGCGCCGGGGGGGGGGGGGCCGCGGGCGGGGGGAGGTCCCCCGCTTGCCCCGGCCCCTTGCGTGTGCTGGCGGCGCGCAAACCTGGATTGGCGATCCATGGATTTGGCGCGCGGTCGCCAAATCCATGATCGCAAAATCCATGGATCGAGGGAGGTGCCCTCCCCCAAAATGCGGCCGGTGCCGCCTCGCTCGGCGGCGGAAATCCGCGATTTCCTATAGAAATGGGACCCGTCGCTAATCCACGCCCCCTTGATCCATGTTTGCGATCGCCTGGGTATGTTCCTCTGCAGCCATCGGCTGGCGGCGCGCGGGGGGGGTGCAGGGGCAGGGGGAAGGCTGCTTGGAAACACCCTGCTTCTCTTAGAGGGCGCGGGCCGTACGTCTACAGTGAGAAGACCCGCGTCTTCTTGGAAACAGGGTGCTTCTAAGAAGCCTTCCTGCGCCTGCTAAGAAGCAGGGTGCTTCCAAGAAGCCTTCCCCCCCTCCCCCCTGCCCCCCCTCCCCCTGCGCGTGGCCGAATCGCGCTACCGTGAAGAACGTCAAACAAGGATCTGAAATGGGGTGGCTCTCCTGGCCACTGCGAGCCTCCGCAACGACCAGGCCCCCCGATCTGGACTTGAGGAGCGGCCCGAAACCAGGATCCCTTCTGAGCCCAAATTAGTCCTTGCTTCAACGTCTTGGCCGCAAGGCGATGCCAAGACTGGGACAACATCGGGCTGGGACAAATCGGGGATCACTGAGATCTGGCGGTCCTGGAGGATGTGTTGGGCGCCACGGCCGTTCTAGAGCGCTCCAGAACGCTCTGAGAGCGTTTCGGTACGCTCTG